GAGCAAAAGTAGGTGGGAGGGAAGTTCCGGGGGGGACATTCGTTCAGAACACTGAGTGCTGGGGTTCTTGTGCAATGTCTGGCCTCAGGGGCTGCTCCCACTCAGGAGGGGCGGGGCCCCAGCCCTGGGACAGAGTCCCTGCTCTGGTTCTCAGGCTGCTGCCACCTGCACCTTCCACATTTCGCTTTGTCTTCAACAGACCCCACCTGACCAAGTAGAAAGAGCCTGGAACATGACTTTGGAGTTTGTCAGATGGCAATTTAACTGCCCCTTTGCCATTCACAAGCTCTGTGACCTTGGATAGGTCAATTGTACTCTCTGAGCCTCAGGTTCTTTGTGTAATGTGGGCAGTTCCTAGCTCAAAGGTTTATTGAGGGAATTTTTTCAGGTAATGCACGTAAAGCCCAGCACAGTGTCGGGACATCGTCAGGACCCACATCTGCTCGCATCTTCATACGTCACCTCCCCTGAAGACCAGTAGAGGGTGTCCAGGGAACTCTTGTTATGCCCCAGAGCTCAGTGACCCTGAGCACCCCTGCCGGCTGCGCCTTCTCTTGACATCTAGAAAGGAGGCTATGGCCAAGAAGGCAGGCATCCTGGCACCACCCCTGGCCAGGTAACCTGTTTCCTCATCTGTGAAGCAGGGGGCAGTAGTGAACACCCACCAAGTGGTTGCGAGGACCGACAGACCCAACATAGGGACCCGGACAAGGAGGTGCTGCCATGTTCCCTCCCACCTCTGCTGCCGGGAGCCCTCCTGCCCTCCGTCCCCTCTTCCTCAGGGACTGACCCAGCAGGCCAAGTGTCCACTAGTGATGTGCTTCAGATTTCACTTTTTTAAAATTCAAGAAAATCTCTATTAACTTAGAAACTTTTTTAAAGTCTTAGAAAACCTGTTAACTGAAATGCTTAGGCCAAGTTCTCCTTGATTAGCTCCCTGGTAATTAAGTCACTGAGAGCTCAGACCAGGGCCTGGATCTAGTAAGCTCTGAGTAACTGTTAGTGTGGTGGAAGGCCAAGTAGAAAGTCCCCTTTCCCCCGTAACCCTCCTTGTGAAGGGGTTTCTAAAAGGCACGCTCCCTTTCTCCCTTAGTATGGAGGGTACAGTAATTTCCAGAATGTTTCTTTTCTTTGAGGATTTGGAGCACCATATAGTCACCACACAGAACAATCCCACAGCGTGCAGACGCGGCAAGTGCAGGAAGTGCCCAGGACGTGCTCCAGGAACTGGTCGCTTTGAGTTTCCATCACACCCTTTGTTTTTGTTTCATTTCCATTTGTTCTCAAAGCCACATAACAGCCCCTGAGTTCTCTTGACTTGGGGTCTGGTTAATGAAGGCCCTGTCTCCAGTTGGATCTGGTTTTCCTGGTTGTCAGCCTTCAGTTCAGTGTTAATGGTGCCTTAAAAACTTGGGAAGGTTTATGAGGAAAGGTCAAGGTTACAGTAGGAGTTCAGATTACTGCGGTGCCACCCTGTTTGAGGGTCACTGTGCGGTTCAGTTCAGGGCCTTGCTGAGGTGTCCTCATCAGGTGGAAAGTCTGGGCGGGTGGCGGCCTCTCTCTACCTTTCCCCTTCAGCACACCCTAGCTTTGGGTCCAGAGCAACTGCAGGATCTCAGTGTGGTGACTCCTGGATCCAGAGGTGACATGGGAGCTGGCCTCAGATCTAGAGTGGTGGCCAGAGCCCATGGGACCTTCCGCAGGCCCAGGCCTCCCTGGTGTCCCAGCAAACGGGTTTGTGCTGCAGTCTGAGCAGAGAGGGCTTCCGGCCTGGCTTCAGGCCCCTCGCCTCACCTGGGCTTTCCTGAGCTTACAGCTCGGAAACTCCGTGGGACAGAGTTTTCGTCACCATGCACAGGCTCTGGGGAGGCTCCCACACCAGCTGTCACTACAGCTCAGGTACAAAGGTGTGACCACCAGGTAATGGTCTGTATGAGCTGGCCCGGGTTACGTAAACGTTTTCCATCTGTAATGTGGGCGTAAGTAATACCCACCTCAGTAGAATAGAAAAGTCCAGAAAGAGTCCTGGAAACACAAGAATTTAGGAACAGTAGAGGTCATTTCAGGTTGGTAGTGGAAAGACAGTTCATTCAAGAAATGGACAATTTGCTGCCTGGAAAAAAATGAAGTGGCTCCTGACCCTTAAACCTTACATCAAGATCAACTCCAGATAGATTAAAGATTTAAAAAATGAAGCTGTAAAATTAAGGGAAAAAATGTGGAAGAATTATTTTAAAAGTCTTAAGCCTGACAAGGAAACTTGCGTGTGTTTAGGTACATACAAATAAATTTCTGCATGAATTAAGCCAACATAAAAGTCAAAAGAGAGGGGCCGGCCCTGTGGCCGAGCGGTTAAGTCCACGCAGTGTGCTGCAGGTGGCCCAGTGTTTCATTGGTTCGAATCCTGGACGTGGACATGGCACTGCTCATCCAGCCATGCTGAGGCGGCGTCCCACATGCCACAACTAGAAGGACCCACAACAAAGAATATACAACTATGTACCGGGGGGCTTTGGGGAAAAAAAAGGAAAACAATAAAAAAAAAAAAAAGTCAAAAGAGAGGGGCCGGCCCCGTGGCCAAGTGGTTAAGTTCGCGTGCTCTGCTTTGGCAGCCCGGGGTTTTCCTGGTTCGGGTCCTGGGTGCGGACGTGGCACCACTCGTCAGGCCACATTGAGGTGGCGTCCCACATGCCACAACTAGAAGGACCCACAACTAAAATATACAACTATGTACAGGGGGCTCTGGGGAGAAAAAGCGGGAAAAAAAGTCAAAAGAGAAATAACAAACTGGAAAAGTGCATGTCTAATTCTTTTCAGAGATAAAAGGTTAGTTTTCTTACTTTATAAAGAATTTGTACAAATTAAATACAGAAAAGACCAGCAACTCCATCGATAAACACACAAAGGATAAAAGCGAATAACTCCTGGAAAAGGAGCTACGGCTGCTGCCTGGGCCTGGGCCCCAGAGCTGTCTGGACAGGAGCGTTGGGGTGAATCCCGGCTCTGCGCTTAGGTACTGTTTGACCTCACAAGTTATTAATGCCCACTGGGCCTCAGCTTCCTGAGCTGTAAAATGGGGGTAACCATAGTCCCTGTTATTAAATGGGTTAGCGAGTATAACGCGTGTAGGACGGGGAGAGAGGCAGTCAGTGCTGTCAAGGCTCGATAGATAAAATGTGAAAGGAGGCGTGAGCTCACCTGTGAGTGGGATTGTCTTGTGATAAGAAACGTGCAGTGATAAGCCATTTCCCCACCGTGTTGCTGACAGTGTATGAAATCTAGCGCTCGTGCCGTTGACTGGAGAATCAATATCTGTCAGGTCTGAATACACATATCCTTTGACTGAGCACTCTCTCTTCCTGATAACCATCCAAGAAATGACGCGCACGCAGGGGTGTTCATGCAGCACTGTTTGTAAAAGCAGAAATTGGAAACAGTTGTCCTTCAGCAGTGAACTGGTTAAATCATTTATAACACGTCCATAACTTGGATGATTATGCAGCTTTAAAAAGAGAGGCAGGTGGGGGGCCGGCTCCGTGGCCGAGTGGTTAAGGTCACGCACGCCGCTGTGGCAGCCCAGAGTTCGGATCCTGGGCGTGGACATGGTACTGCTCGTCAGGCCACCTTGAGGCGGCGTCCCACATCCCACAACTAGAAGGACCTGCAACTAAGATATACAACTGTGTACAGGGGCGGGTTGGGGAGATAAAGCAGGAAAAAAAAAAGATTGGCCCAGCTGCCAATCCTTAAGAAAAAAAAAGATTGGCAACAGTTGTTAGCCCAGGTGCCAATCTTTAAAAAAAAAAAAAAATGAGGCAGGTCTGCATATACTCATGTGGCACAATCTCCTGTATATATTAAGTAGTAAGAATAAAGTGTCAAACAACATGGACAAGAGTTATGTTTGTGCAAAAACGAAGTGTGCAGATGCGTGTATATGCCCAGCGGGGCTCTGGAGGGACATCCGGGCAAGTAGTAACAGTTGCCGCTGGGGAGGCACTGTGGCTGAAGAGCACGGCAGAACTTGTGAATTTTTGTGTATCGTAATCTGAAAAAAAGCTATCTCGTGACATTATTGTGGGTAATAAAAGACACCATCATAGGGGTTAGGAGCAGGGAGTCCAGTTTGACTGCCTCAGATCTTAGCTCCACCACTCCAGGTGTGACCTCAGGCAAGTTTCTGACCTCTCTGTGCCTCAGTTGCCTCATCTGTAAAACGAGGGTTAGAACAGAAGCTAATGCACAGGTTGTGAGCGTGAAATAGGGTGGCTCATGGGAAAGTTCTCAGTCCCTGTCACACAGCAAGTCAGCAGTGGACACCCGCCATCCTCCTCTCACCGCCATGCTCGGCGCTGAGCAGTGGGGCTCCGTCAGCTTCTCCACCAGCTGCCCTGTCGGGGTCAGTGCATGTTGGGGAGAACTGCCCCCCGTGGGCTCAGCTCTGACCCTCACTCCTCAGCTGGGCAGGGAAGCGTTTTCTGACCATCCGCCCTGGCTCCTCAAAGGAGAGGGATGGTGCTTCCCCCCGCCACCAGCTGCCCGTCTGCCGAGGTGGCTCTTAGAGCCTTGGAATGATAAAGGCATGTCTGCCAGGAAGGCCGAGAGTGGCCCACCTGTTCTCCACCTTGGATGCTGGTAGAAGCTGCTCCCCGGAGAAAGGCACATACACTCAGAGGTGCGCGAGAGCTGGTGGCCGGGTCTGGGCACATGCCCCTCTCGGCCCTGTCTGTCCTGGACCAGGTACGAGCCCCAGCACTGCTCAGCTCACAGAGCAGGCATCCTGGGCAGACGTGTCTGCTGCTTACCTCGGTCTCCTGCCTGCACAGGGCTCTTGCTGCCTGGCTTACCTCCGTGGGGAGTCCCAGGTCTCCACTCCCTCTTGGTGCCTGTGGCAAAGGAGGAGAATTTGACAAGGGGCCATGCAAGGCCACCCTGATGCCCTCAGGTAGCTGCCAGCCATCCGTTCAGGAGGGACCTCATGTTCTCGTTTCTACTCTCAGGGGTCTAACGTGATGGAAGAGCAAGACCTGCGGGAGATTGGCATCAGTGACCCACAGCACCGGCGGAAGCTGCTCCAGGCTGCACGGTCCCTGCCCAAGGTGACCACCCACAGCTCTGCAGCCTCGGCCTTTGCCAGAGCCAGGGCCATCTCCCTACCACCACCTAGACCCACAGGGAAGGAGCTTGGCTCTGGGGCCTGCAGATCACTGTGGGACATCTGCCCCTCCTCCTGGGAGCCCCAGCAGGCAGCACGGAGTCCTGTTTACTTCTTCACCAAGTCCTGAGACCACAGAGATCAGCAGAGCAGTAGGGTCAGCGAGGACCTGGTCTGGCCTCAGGAGGGGCTGCAGGCATCTGCCTGGCATGGGAACCTGGCCCATGGGCTTGGCCTGTCCCCTGGAGTCCCTGTGGGGTCTCTCCTGACTCACTCAGGACCAGGCCAGCCCACGCTGATCTCTGGCATCAGGCCCTCCCCAGGAAGGCATTCAGGGCAGCAGGAGAGGCACAGTTTTTCCCTGGGGGGCCAGGGGCTCATAGGCCCAAGCCTCTCCTCCTAAATTGTGCTGGCACTGAGTCCAGTGTCCCCTTGTCCCTTTCTCTTGCTCAGGGAGCACAAACAAGTCCCAGCGGTGAGGCCCACACCCACTTCCCAGGCACACACCATTTTCTTGTCCTACCAGGTCCAGTCCGTGACCCCGTCAGAGCACAGCGGGGCCTTCTGCAAACCCTTGTCCCACCCAGCCTTCCCTGATAGGGCCATCTTCCCCGACCCAGGATGCTCTGGTGGTCCCCAGCTGGGGACCCCTCGAATGGGGTTCACAGATGGGGAAGCTGAGCCCAGAGCCGTGATAGAAAGGGCTGTGGGAGGAGAGGGACTCTGGGTACTGAGGACCCAGACCCACAGGGCCCCTCCTTGGCCCTCAGCAGCTGTCCTATACCCACCCAGCCTCAGTCTCTGGGCTGTGGGCCTGGGTCCCCAGGGTCCCTGTCCTCTGAGTGCTGAGATGTCAGTCCCACCTCCCCTTCTCACCCCACAGGTGAAGGCTCTGGGCTATGATGGGAACAGCCCCCCATCGGTGCCCTCCTGGCTGGACTCCCTCGGGCTGCAGGACTATGTCCATTCCTTTCTGTCGAGTGGCTACAGCTCCATTGACACTGTGAAGAACCTCTGGGAACTGGAGCTTGTCAACGTGAGTACAGCCTCCACTCAAGCTTGGCCTGGCTGCTCCTGAAGCAGGAGCTTCCTTGGACCACCAGCCTGGCCTGTGAGGGGAGCTGTGTGGGTCAGAGGGTACCTGTAGGCCCTGTCGCCGCCTGACCTCTCTCCTCTCCCCTGCCCCCAGGTCCTAAAGGTTCACCTGCTTGGCCATCGAAAGCGCATCATTGCCTCCCTTGCAGACCGGCCCTACGAAGAGCCGCCCCAGAAGCCCCCGAGGTTTTCCCAGCTGAGAGTGAGTTGGGGAGGGATGGAGAGGGATGTGTGTACTTTATATTGTTAGGAATTAAAGAGAATTCTTTAGGAATTCCTCAGAGACAGTGTGCCCTCGTAGAGGAAACCACCCCCCCCCCCTCACTGGGGCCAAGTGTGCCCCTGAGCCTAGACTGAGAGAGGAGCACAGCGGGGAGTTGTTTCGGCTCGCTATTTGTCAATTACGTGCCTCCCATCTACATCAGAGAACCTTGGGATGGCCTGTGACAAAGGCTCCACTTTAAAAATAAGTAGAAACTACAATGTTGGGAAAACAAACATCCAAACCCCAGACAGCTGGGCGCTTGGCTGAGTGTTGAGTTCAGCTGCACAGGGTGGCAGAGCCGAGGGGCAGGCGGGGGTCAGGAGAGCCCCACTTTCGGGCCATGTGACGTGAACCTGAGGCAAAGCTTGGCAAGCACGCAGGCCCTGCCTGCCCCCCCCCCCCCCCCCCCCCCGGTCTTCTGAAGGAGGGTTCCTGCGGCGGGGTGTGTAAGCGAACCTGTGCTTTTGAAAACCTCACGGGTGCTTTGTTGCTCTAGCCAAGTCATCCCTGCTGCAGAATCGAGTTAGGCCCTGTGAGCCCGAGGTCGGGGTGAGCTGTCTCCCCAGACCCGCAGAGCTAAGGGCAGCTGCTGGTGGGGACCGGCCCTGGGCGGGCGCTGGGCTCTGAGCAAGGCCTCCGCGCCTCGGCCATTTACAGCAGCCTCAGACAGTCGGAGCTATTGTATCCTCCTTTTATGCATGAGAAAGCTGAGGCCCACACTGGTTCTGAGGGCCAAATGTACAGCTGACATTCAAATAAGAACACTGGGGAGACTGAGTCACGTTCTCTCAGAGGCGTCAGGGTGCTGACCGGTGGGGCTCTGTAAGAAAGAGCTTTGGATTGGTCCCCTGCCCCAGAGACCCGCAATGCATTGTGACAGATGACTTTAAATTTGATAAATTGGAAAGTGCTTCCCAGCTGAACAAATGTCCCTCTTCCCGTGCCAGGCCCAGGGGCATGATAGTGAACTGGGGGTGCTTGTGGTGGCTGCTCGTCTGCAAGACTGGGTGGTCAGGGCTTCCTGGCTCCAGGAAGAATTTGGCTGCTTTGACTGTCCCCAGACTGGGCCCAGCAGCCAGTTTCCCCACAGGCTTCTGTCCCAGCGGACCATTTGTCTGGTGCCTCCCTGATATTGGTCCCTGGCTCTGTGCCCATTCTGTCTCACCAACTCTCCTGCCGGTGCCAGGCCCTAACCAGCCCGAGGACTGGCTGATGCCTACAACCCCGGGACTGGCCTGATGGGTTCCGAGTTTCACCTGGACTTCTCCCTGCTGCAGTGCCAAGACTTGCTCTCCCAGACATCGTCCCCCCTGAGCCAGAATGACTCCTGCACTGGGCGGTCCTCAGACCTGCTGCTGCCTCCTGGGGACACAGGCAGGAGGCGGCATGACTGTCTTCACGACCCTGCAGCACCCTCCCGAGCAGAGCGCTTCAGAATCCAGGTGGGGCAGGAGGAGGGCTGTGGACAGGGGTCCCCTCATTCCTCTGGGCAGGACAGGGCCTCCCAGACCCCTGCACTGCCCCTGTGCCAGCACCGGGAGCAGGAGGAGGACACCAGCCTCCTCCCGGCATTCCCCACCCAGCTGGGAACGTGCCAGGTCCAGTCCCCAAGCTTCCCGTGCTGTGACTGCATGACTCACTCCAGCTGTCGTTGCTAGGGCCTCCCTTGTGTCTTATGTGGCCGGGACTTCCCTCCTCAGAAGTTCAGATCCACCGCCTCCTCTTTGACTACAGCTTCCTACTGTTTCTCCCACTCTCGGCCCCTTCTTGGCTCCTTTCTTCCTACCCGGCCCGTTCCCCAGAACTGCTTTCTCTCCCCGTGCTCAACTCCACACCTTGCTGCAGTCCGGATCGGACTCCCTTCTCCCTGCCCCGTTTCTGCAGCCCAGTGGTGGGCACAGCCGCGAGACTCACGTTCAGCTGTGCCACCCGCCTCACAGCCTCACCAGCCTCCGCTGCGCCCTGGGGCCACCTGCAGCCCTGGCCGTCGAGCATTCCTAGCTCACCCTCTTGGGGTATTTCTCTCCTGGATTATTCAAGGCTTGCCTGTCCTCTCTCCTACCTTGCACAGACTCCAGGCCTTGTCTCTTGTCCCCCATCGTGGCCTGGTGGACTCAAGATTGGCGAGTGTCCCTCATCGCCCTCAGGGTGAACTTCAGCTTCTCTCTGTGTTTGCCCTGGACTCCCAGTCCTCATTTCTGGCCTCTGGAGATCTCCCTCACCTTCCACAAGCACAGCCATGAACTTTACAGGATTAAAGAGCATGTTGTCCAGCAGTTTTAGTTGCTCTGTATTGAGAGACTTTTGCACGTTGCTGGGAATGGAAGTCATGACCGTTTCCTGAATCTTTTCCCTCCTCCCTATCCTTCTACCAGTGCCTAGTTCAGGACCCCATCCTCTCAACACCTGAACTGCCTCCTGACTCCTCTCCCCCACCCCAGGATCAGATCCAGGGGCCGTGACAGGGCTGTGAGGCTTCTGGGGACCTGGCTCCTGCTCCCCTGTCCTTGGTGCATTATGTTTCCCCACACAGACTGGTTGTAGTCTTTTCCCATCTCCATTAAGACTCATCTCAGACATCATAGGGCCTTCCCGACAGAGCCTGCTCTCAGGCGGCTTAGGTCCCGGCCTCTCTGCCTCTTCTCTGGTGTAGATAGGCCTCACCTCCACCACAGTGCATTTGAATGGCTTGTCTGCCCCCTGCCCTCCCCACCTGGCCCTTGAACTCTGTGAGGTGACTGCCTTCTTCGCCCTGGGATGTGCTGGCCCAGGCAGAGGGCCCCTGAGCTCCTCTGGCGGGCGAGCAGACCTGTGACCCTGCGTGTTCTACAGGAAGAGCACCGTGAGGCCAAGCTGACCCTTCGGCCCCCCAGCCTGGCTGCCCCCTATGCCCCCGTGCAGAGTTGGCAACACCAGCCAGAGAAGCTCATCTTCGAGTCCTGCGGTTATGAAGCCAATGTGAGTAGCCCGCGCCTCCCAGCCTCCTGCTTCCTGCCCTTCCTGGCCTGGCCTGGGGCTCCACAGACGCTCCCAGTGCCTAGGGTAAAGGAGGGCCTCTGGGTAGACTTAGCCAGAAAGGGAAAGGGAGGGCCTCCACAGCCAGGATGGGGGATGGGAATGATCAGGAGAAGGAAGCACCCGATTGTGGTCCCATATTGTTTGGGTCGCCCCTGCTAATAATGCAGACTTCCTAAGCCCAGCCACTGCTCGTTCCCACAGTATCTGGGCTCCATGTTGATCAAAGATCTGCGAGGGACAGAATCCACACAAGATGCCTGTGCCAAGATGCGGGTAGGTTGTCCATGTGGAGTGGAGTGTTGGGGGGGCTGGCTAGGACAGAAGGCATCAAGTGGGGGCACCACCTGCAGCCACTTGGGCCATGCCACACTACGTGAGGATGAAGGGAGGCTTGGGGCTGTGAGATCCAAGGGGCTTAGCCCTGAGAAGGGGCATTTACAGGGCCACCTCTTGTTTTCTGTAGAAATCCACCGAGCACATGAAGAAGATCCCCACCATCATCCTTTCTATCACGTACAAAGGTGTCAAGTTCATCGATGCCTCCAACAAGGTGTGCTGCTCACAAGCACTGCTGGTGGAAGGGGACCCCTCTTCCTATCTCCTGCCAGCTGGGTGTCTTCCCTAGAGTGTCCCCAGCTCCTTTTATTCCTGCCCGTTCCCAACTCCTAGCCCAGGTGCTTGTCTCGCAGGTGCCCACATATCCTGAGCCCGGGGCCCCGCCCTAGTGACAGCCACAGCTCACCTTCCTCAGCATGGATTCCATCGGCCCCACTTACCTGCTCACAGGCCGTTAATGAGCAGAGGACTTGCCCAGACCCCACGCTTGGGCCCCCACCCTCCTGCTACCCTTCCCTCCTTGTCCCCGCCCTAGAGGGCAAAAGGGACTGGAGAGCTGGTGGGTGAACGTTTTACTCCCCAGTTGCCACGGTCAAAGGTGGTCAAACCTAAATCGGGTAAGGTTAGACACTGCCCCCCAGCCCCGCAAAACAAAAAGTTTGGCTGATGCCCTGGGCCGGGACAAAGAAAGGTGGTGGTGATGATGGGCTAAGTCGTGATTAGCCCCAGGGAGCCCGAGATTCCAGACCCTGCTTTCCCCAGCAGAATGTCATCGCGGAGCATGAAATCCGGAACATTTCCTGCGCGGCCCAGGACCCGGAGGACCTCTGTACCTTTGCCTACATCACCAAGGACCTACAGACCAGCCATCACTATTGTCATGTCTTCAGCACAGTGGATGTGGTGGGTGGAGTCCCACCGCTGGGCTCAGCTGGAGGGGGCCCGGCATTGAAATGAGCGCAGTGCTGTCCTGGTACCTGGCTGGCACTGAGCACATGTTTGGTTCATGAATGAAGCCCCTGCAGCCACCCACCCAGTCCAGTCCCCTTTATACAGCAATGAGACTGAAGCACAGAGAACAAACGACCTGTCCACTTCTGGTGATAGAAGTTTTCCCACTTCTAGCCGAGTGTTAGGTCAGCCACAGCCCTGGGCTCCCTCAGACTGTCAGCCCACCGCCCTGACTCCCCAGCACTCCAGCCGGGCAGGCTCCCTGAAATGCCCTCTCCTCCCTCTGGGGGGCAGCGCTGCCCTCCTGGCAGTAGGTTGTCTTCTCCCAGATTCCTGCCCAGGCTGGGCTCTGGAGCCACTGGGCCGCTGGGGGAGCTGTCACATGTGCTGCCCACAGAGAGAGGAGGAGCAAAGACCACAGCTGGTGCAGCAGGGACTCCCTCTGCCCTGAGACAAGGCCCCAGGCCATCTCCTCACCCCCAGACTTTTGTTCAGGTCCCTGCTGCCCTTGGGGGGACTGGCTCTTTCCCAGATCTCAGTGGCTCCTGGAACACAGGCGTCTCAGGGCTTCCCAGCCCGAGACCTCAGTGCTTGCTCTGGGGCTGCCATCAACTGGCTCTGCCACTTGCTGGCTGTGTGACCTTAGAGACGTCATCTCTCCCTGGCTCCTTATCTGTGAAAGGGATATAATGTGACCAACTTTGCAGGGTTGTTTTGAAGATGAACTGAGGTAGTCCACCCAGTGCTTGTCATTCCTGGCACTTTTACCCGTAGCTGACATTTTCCACGTCAGTCAGTTCTGCTGTAACAACGTACGTGCTGCTAGAGGTGGCCGTGCTCCTCAAACCACACAGTAATCCCAGGGTCTATGGGGAGGGGAGCTGGGGCCCAGCACTTGGCGACTTTGTCAGTGACACGTTAAAAAAAAAAAGATAGAAACCAATAAAAATGTTAGCACTGTCATATTCATATTAAATGGTTAAGAAATACAAAAATACTATAATAAACATGGCACTCTGCCTTGAGAGAGGCCTGACGTTGGTTGTGGGCATGTGCCTGGATTATCACCAGCCTGTGTGCGACAGGAAGAAGACGAGAGAGAGCTAGAAAGAGAGAAAACAGAACAGAGAGGAACACGACAGCCCAGAGGGACAGGAAAGGAGCAGGGTGCAGGGCTGCGCGGCCAGGTGGCCCTTGGAAGAGTTGCAGCTGGTGCATCATCGGGAGGTGGTGGAATCCAGCAGAAAGCTGAGATTCCAGCTGTGGCTGGGTGGCTCACTGTCCTCCTGACATGGGCGTGTTTTGTGTATTCCCAGGCAACTTGGTCAGCGGGGTGCAGTTTTTGCATTCACCTTGTGTTTCTCTCTGATGAAATCATGCACGAAATGGAAACACAACATGTGTGTTATGCTCAGAGTGTTCCCTAATGTATCAGTCATCTTGGGACAAACTTGTGTTTTCCAAACAAGTGTTCTGGCAGCATGGACGGCACTCTTGTTCCCTGTCCCACTGCTGCCGAGCCTGTGCTCAGGGGCGTGAGGCCAGGGCAGGTTTAGAGGAAAAGATGAGGCGACTCCCCAATCCCGGCCGCTTAAGTTGTGCTCTGTCTCCTCCCAGAACCTGACCTACGAGATCATCCTGACGCTGGGGCAGGCGTTTGAGGTGGCCTATCAGCTGGCCCTGCAGGCCCAGAAGTCCAGGCCCCTGGGGGCCTCTGCGGCTGAGATGATTGAAACAAAATCTTCCAAACCGGTGCCTAAGCCTCGGGTCGGCATGAGGAAGTCAGCAGTACGTGGGCCCCGTCGCCAAGACTCCCCATCCCCCTGATCCTGGGATTCGAGGGCTTGGGGTGGAGCCAGGCATGAAGCGGGGCTTTTCACACTTCAGACAGCTGGCCCCTCAGCAAACAACCCGGTTAATTAGGTGCCCGCCATGGAGGTCCTCGCCCAGGAGGGCAGCAGCCCCCTAACCTGAGGTGGGCAGCTCTCACGCCCAGGCTGCCTGCTCTCTCCCTCGCGAGGCTCACCCACACAGCCCACAGGCAGGCCCCCAGTAACGTGGCCCCGTGTCTGTGTCTGCTTTGCTCTGCACCCCAGGTGCCGCTGCCCCCTGATAGTCGCTGTTGTTACTGTCACACCTGCACCACCCATCGTCCTTCTTACCTACCGCTGCGGTCTCTTAGTCCTGGAGTCAAGGTCTTTACACCTCCTGCTGTCTGTGTCAGTCTCCCTGAAGCGACGTGAGCTTCCTGAGACTCGTGGCCCCTCCCTCTCTGCCTGCCTGGCCTTCTTTCCTGAGCTGCCCTCCTGCCATCCCTGTCTGTGCTTTAGCCTTCTGTTTTGCTGCTATGTGTCCTCCTCTCCACAGAGGTCGGGGGTCCCCTCTGTGGTCTTGCCCAGGGTGCCCTCTCTGGACCTGCCAGAGGAACCTGAGGCTTGTAGTTTCCAGGCCCCTGCCCCCTCTTCCTGCCTCCGTGAACAGGTCTCAGGCGATGCTCGGGCAGGGCAGGGCTCCTTTAACCAAGCTGCTCTAAGAGATCCGTGGGGGAGGTCGCCCCTGGTGAGGCCCAGAGGTGGCCCTCCCATGATGCTGCAGGGAGGGTGTCACTTCTGCCACCCCACCCCCAGGGAGCTTGGTCTTTGGCTGAGGAGAGCCAGGGCTGCCCCTCCCGGGGTGCCAACACCAGCATGTCTGGCGGGGGGCGGAAGGGATAGCTAGGCCCTCTCGCTCCCGACAGGCACAGCCTTCCCTGACTCTTCACCCTTCTTCCTTGGCAGCTGGAACCAGCCGATATGGACCCAGATGCCCAGTCCCATGCCAGCGTCTCCTGGGTTGTGGACCCCAAACCAGACTCTAAGCGGAGCCTCAGCACCAAGTATGAGACCACTATCTTCTAACCACCCACTCCCTGTCTCCACTAGTCTCACTGTGCCTTGCCATCCGATCTTTCTGCTGTTCTCAACTCTCCTTCCAGCTGCTGATGCCAAGGCCCCACCCCTACTGGGACTGCTCTCCTCCTGGGCAGCAGCTCTAGACACTGCACACTCACAGCTTGTACCTAACACCACCGGACACTGTGAATACCCCCCTTGGGTGAGGACAGCGTGGGGGGGTGAGTTGCCTTTGAGGTGGGCACCAAGAGGGCTAAGGGGGCCCGTTGCGCCCAGGAAGCCTCAGCGGGCAGGCACTGTGAACCTGAGGCCAGGGCGGTCTTCGACAGAGTCTAAACAGCGCCAGTGCCAGCTCCCTGGGCTCCCTGTCGGCTGTCCTCCCCTGTCTCCTGTGCTGAGCCACAGCCAGGTGCAGCTGCCAAGAGCTAACTGTCTGTCCGCACCTTTCCTGATACAACCAACCACTGTGACCACCCGGTGCCAGAATCCCCTTGCGCTCTGCCCACAGCTGGCCTGCGGTCCTGTCCTTTCCTCCTCTGCTCTAAGGTGCTGGCCTCCCCCTGGGAGACCCTGAGCTCAGCGATGTAGCTTGACCAGGGTCAGACTGCTTTCTGTGAGGGCCCAAGCTCTGTGCCAGGCCCTTGGGCACATGCCTGACTCCAAAGCATGGGGCTCTGAGCATCTGAACACCCTCAGGCTGGCTCCACGCAGCTCGTTTCTAGGTCCTGATGGGTCTTCCACTCCGAGGAGTGGATGGCATGTACGTGGTCAGCCCTCCTGTCTTCATCAGTGAGTCACAAGGCTGGCTCTGGAGTCTGGCCCATCAAGGAGGAAGGCCTTTCTATAGGACCCAGCAAGAGGGAGGCCTCTGCCCTGCACACACAGCAAACCCTCTTTCCTCACAGAACGGAGCTGCTCCAGGACAGGAACCTGGATGGAGCAACTTCCGTTGTCCTCCAGGAGCTTTCTGACACTTCTCCACAGTGTGGGGATCAAAGATAGTCAGCCGTCACCTGGCCCCTTCCCTGATCACTGCCCTCAGCCTCTCGACTCCTCAGAGAGGGGAGGCTGTGCACTCCACCACCTCAAAGCAGTTCAGCAGCGGGGACCATGGAGTCGAGGCTTTGAAGAAGCCGCATATTCTCTGGCGTGGGCAGGTCAGCTTAGACGGTGGGAGACAGCAAAGCAGCCGTTCCGCTAGGAAGCAGTGCAAACGTTGCATAGTCCAGTAGGAAAGCCAGGAAGTTCCGGCAAATGCTCTAGAGTTGAAACCCAAGCTGATAAACCAGGGTGGGTCCTCCTGCCTGCCGGCCTGTCCTTGTGCCTTCTCGAGCAGACACTGAGCCAGAGGCGGCAGTGAGCCGGGGGTGCTCGGAGCAGGCCACCGAGGGCACTCAGGGGAGGCCGTGAGGGACTTCTGTCTGCTCCTGGGTTTCCTTTCAGTTCCCTCCACCCTCTGCAGGCCCCTTTGGTTAACCCTTTCCTCCCCCCGTTGTGTTTGCTTCTGCCAAGCTGAGCCACTGAGGAACCGACTGTGCTGCGGAAACAGCCGTGGGGGGCACAGGCTCCCACCGCCACCACCACCATCTCACCTGCAGCTTTGAAGACCCAGGCCCAACCTCTGCCCTAGGACCTCCTCTCAGCTGCTTGGCCTGGGCCTGCCACCACCAGGTCTTACAGAGCGAGCCTTGCCCTGGCTGCAGAGAAGCACTCCAGGCCTCTAGCAGACAGAACTGGCACTCCAGAGGGTCAAGAAGTGACTTGTCCAGAACATATTTTTTAATAGAAAAATTTTTTTTTATAAAATGAACTTTTAACACTCAGCTCAAACCTCTAGGTTAAACTGCCAATCTTGAGACAAATGGCCATAGGGTCAGAGGACAGGGGACCTGAGATTGGCTAAGAGGCCAGTCTGTCCAGCCCTCTGTCCTGGGGATGGGATCTTGGCATGGTCTGGAGGGCTGAAGAGAAGGCAGGGCCTGCAGTGAATTGAAAGCAGCAGGCGCAGGGGCAGAACTGAGGAGGTTTGTCAGAGTCTGCTGCTCAAACCCACCCAAGTTAGCTGCTGTTTCTTATGAGTGGCACGATAGCGTGTCCCCATCTAGAGCTGGACACAGCCTCTTTCCGCAGTAAGAACGCAGCCTTAGGGGCACCTGGCAAAAGTAAAGGCTTCGGTCCGTGTCTAAGGTTCCACATGTGAAGGTCCAGGGGTCAAATGGAGATGAGCGACCAGTTCCTGGTCCCGTGAAGTCTGAGCCAGCCCCTGGTACGCCGGGCCGCCCCTGGTCTCTGACCTGCCCGAGTCAGAGCACTGCCCTGGACTGCCTGGCCCGTGAGCTCTCTGCGACCTCAGACTGCCTGAGTTGAGTGAGAAAGGAGAAAAAGCAGCTTTGTTTTGGGCATTAATGGGTAGGTCAGCTAAGATTGCTACCTGCCAGTTTGTGATTTGTGTAGTCAGATGTGTGTGTTCAGGACTCACTCATTCTCTGAATTATTGGTTTGACTGTTGCATTTTCAGCTGCTCGGCTCATCCCTGGCTCCAAGTGTAGAGAAGGCTAAATAAGGTGACAATTTGATTCTCCCCCAGTGTGGCCTTCAGGGCAGGCTGGCGTCCTGGTACACCACTGCCGCTTAAGCCCTCTTGCTGGCTTGCTTTGCTTTTTTAACTTTGATGTGTTCCTCCTCCTAGAGAACAGTAGAAACAAAGTGTCTAATTCCCGTGTGGCTGGGAGGCAGAGCCAGGTCAGCTGCATGTCCAGTACCTTCCAGAGCAGGAGCAGAGAGGACGTTTCCTCCCGGGGCCCCTCGGCAGGCAGACCGCAGGCTTTGCTGGCAGGTGCAGTCTGATCCCAGGATCCACATTCCAGGCTTCAGCAGTGCTGTTCTTTCCCAGCAAAGGTTGCGAACAGACCTTCTCTGCTGGTGTGTGCGTGCAGGGACAGTGCCCTGGGGCACACATTTGAAAGCAGGGCCCTGTGGGTTTCCTCCCTGCTGAGCTGGCCAGGGCTGCAGGCCCTGGGAGTCGCCCCTCTGGAGTAGAGGCAGGTGATCCTCCACTGCTCAGTACTAAACAGGGACCTCAGCCCTGGGAGTCTGACTTCTCCTGCCTCTTCCAGGGCCTCAAGGATTCCCATCAGCTTCCGCTGCGCCCCCCCTCCCCCGGCAGTGACAAGGAAGCCTGAGATGGGTGGGTCGCCGGTGCCGCTCCTGCTGTGGCGCTCGTGCAGGTGCCCTTCCTCCCTCCTGAGCAAGGCCGGGTCTCACCGCGTAGGCTTCTCGATAGGTGGCAGGTCCCAGCAGAAACTTTGTAGACACTACAATGAGCTCCTCAAGCTGTCTTTTTGTTTTTAAGTCATACATAGGTGTTCCTCCCCTCGAAGCTGCTATATCTTCTTTATTTATTCAGGGTGTTTTCTTATTGGAAGCCTTGGCTGGTCTGCTCTGGCTGTGGGTTCTGTTTTGAGATTGGTTTATTTCTGAATAGTCAAGAGAGGAAAGGACTAGGCCTTTCTTTTTCACTCCTCCTCCGGGGCAGGTACTCTGCCTTCCCTAGAAAGGAATATTATAACTTTAAGGACAGGCTTCAAGTGGAAAAGCCCCTGCTTCTGCATGTCTCTGAGTGCAGGTCACGCGATGTGGCTGCCCTGTTGCTGCGTTTCTGAGTCGTGCGGGAGCCCGTCCAGGCGGGACTGGAAGTGGGGTCAGCACTCGTCGCCGGCCGCAGGCTCGCTGCTCGCCTCCTTCCTGCTCGCCAGCTCCTCTGGGCAGTAGGACTTCCCTCCCGGCAGGCTCTCCATCTGTAACTTATGCCTCCACGTCCCTCTTGGCCTTCAGCCTCAGACTCTAGGGGGAGTCCTCGAGAAGCCTCAGGGTGAGCAGGCAGCAAGCGCAGCTGCAGTCGCCAACACGGCAGAAAGCTAGTCTGAGCTCCGTCAGTTTCTGAGATGCCCAGGCCTGCAGACTGACTGTCAGATGCAGTTCGCAGAAGTGTTGTTGCTAATGGTGTGGCATTGGGACTGAATTGTAATAAAAATGTTATTTAATCTTTGTCTCTGTATTTTGATACTTGAATGACTTCCCCTTTTATTTTGCTGTACATATAATTGTTAATCTGTCCGATTTTGTCTGAATTACAAACATCTTGTGGTACCAAACATAAGCAATCTGTGCAACAACATAGAGTGACCTCACTACATGAGAGCAAGTGTAAATATTCCTGGGCTGCCAGCTTTGGTTTTGTTATTTTCATAACTGTACAACCTAGAACAGACTGAATTAATAAATGAGAAGCGACGTGAAACCAGCCTGACTTTTTGGAGTCTGAATTGGAAGTGTCTTGACTGTTTTCTGGCAGAAGTGCGGGCACAGGCTCGCCGCTGGCTCCGGGTCAGTGCTGAGTATCCTGCTCCGACTGGCTGGGATGAGTCTGGGACTTCTCTGTGTAGCATCTTCAAGAGGAGGGATTGTCCTCAGAGTGAGCCGTGTTTAGGGGTGAGGGGCCACATTCAGCTCATAGCTACAGCTCCTCTGCATCCTGGTCTGGGCTGGTCAACCACAGACGGACACTGAACCTCTGTGGACAAGGCAGCCTGGGGGATCAAGCGCTGTGGGAGAGAAATCTCTCCCTTAAAGACCTTAGTTTGATTGTGGAGGTTAAGTTTCAGACTTACACAACTAGCTGTCGGCCCAAAGCCACGGTGCGAGGCCCACAGGACAGTCACAGGCCCGTGGGGATCCAGAGGGACAGGGTGCTCCCAGAGCCCGGGGCGGGGGAGGGGGCAGGTTTGGAAAGGCACAAATGACACTAGTGACCCCTTCATTGACTGAGCACCTGTGTCCCAAACCTGCTAGCAGCTTTACAGGCAGCTGTTTCACTAGCCCTCACCCCTTTCTGGGTAAGTATTATCTCTACTTACAGAGAAAGAAACAGGCTTGGAAAGGTTAAAACACCTGCCCAGGGCCAGTTGGAGGGGACCATCTGGTCCAGTGGCTTCAAGCTGTCCCCAGAGCCCCTGTTCCCATGCCTGCTTCAACTCAAGTTGCCTGTCCCTGAACGCTCTTATTCATGAGTTTCTGTGAAATCTTCCATTTGTTAAAGGGTTTTAGAAGAGAATCACTGATCTAATCCAATACCCCAAGTGTATGTATGAAGTAAAAGCCCAGAACAGGGAAACGATTTTCTTAGCCAGCTAATGGCAGCGAGAGGACCCAAACCCAGGTCCTTACTTCCAATTAGGGCTTCTTAGGCTAAATTGCATTGAAATTGGGAAAGCTGACCAAGGCCGGGTGGAGGGCCTCGTGTTCCAGACTCAAGGGTTTACCAGGGGCCGGCCCCGTGGCCGAGTGGTTAGGTTCGCGTGCTCCACTGCAGGTGGCCCAGTGTTTTGTTGGTTCGAATCCTGGGCGCGGACATGGCACTGCTCATCGAGCCATGCTGAGGCGGCGTCCCACATGCCACAACTAGAAGGACCCACAACAAAGAATATACAACTATGTACCGGGGGGCTTTGGGGAGAAAAAGGAAAAAAATAAAAATCTTGGGGAAAAAAAAGAAATTACCCACTCAAAACAAGAGAGAGAGAAACTGATTTAAAAAAAAAAATGTATTGAGTCTCAGGGACCTATGGGACTAAACAAATGATCAAACATTTGTGTCAGCACAGTCCCAGAAAGGAGAAAGAGGGTGGGGCTGGAAAAGTACTCCATGAAATAATGCCTGAAAACTTACCAACTTTGGCAAGAGACATAAACGAACAGATTCAAGAAGCTAAATGCACCTCCAATCAGATAAACCAAAAGAAATCCATGTCAAGATACGTCTTAATTAAATTTAAGAAAATGAAAGACAAAAAAATTCTTGAAAGCAGTGAGAGAAAAATGACACCTTACCTATAGGAGAAAGGTAATTTGAAGGACAGTGGATTTCTCAGCAGAACTGTGGAGGCCAGAAGTAAGTGGTATGATACTTTCCAGATGCTGAAAGAAAAGAACTGTGAACCTGGAATCCTATACCCTGTGAAAATATTGTTCAGGAATGAAAAGGAATCAAGACATCTCAGATGAAGAAAAACTAAGGGACTTGGTCACCAGCAGACCCACCCTAAAAGAATGGTGAACTTTTCTAAATAGGAAAGGATAAAAGAAGGAACCACAGAACATCAGGCACAATGAACAAACATTAAGCAAAAGTGTGGGTAAATACAATAGACTTTTCTGCTCCTCTTGAGCTTTTAAAATTATGTTTGATGGTTGAAGCAAAAATTATAACAGTCTAAGGTGGGTCTACACGTATGTAGAGGAAATATTTACGACATTTATCTTTTAAATGGGGAGGGTAAAGGGATGCAAAGGGAAGTGAGGTTTCCATACCTTACTTGAACTGGTAAATGGTGACACCAGTAAACTGTGGCACGTTATCTATATATGTAATACCTGGAGCAAACACTAAAAAAGTTATGCAAGGAGAAAATTCAAAACACTATAGATTAATCAAAATGGAATTTTTAAAAATTTTCAACTAATTAACAGGGAGTTAGGAAAGAGAATACAGAAAACAGAATAACTAGGAAACAAAAAATAAAATAGCAAACTTAGGCCCTAACATATCATAATTACACTAAATTTAAATGGTCTAACACACCAACTAAAAAGACAGATTGGCAGAGTAGATTTAAAACCATGAGCCAACTATAGGCTATCTACCAGAAACTCACCTCAAATAACAATATAGGCAGATTGAAAATAAAAAGGTAGAAAAAGATATATAATGCAAACATTAATAAAAGGAAAGCAAGAGTGACTATATTAATATCTCATAAGTAGACTTCAGAACAAAGAAAATTACAAGGGGGGGGCATTATATAATGATAAAAGGGTCAATGCACCAAGAAGACATACCAATCCTAAATGTATCAAACAACAGAGCCACAAAATATGTGAAGCAAAACCTCACTGAACTGAAAAGGGAGATACAGACACACCTCAGAGACATTGCAGGTTTGGTTCCAGTCCACTGCAATCAAGCAAATATTGCAATAAAGAGAGTCATGCAAATTTTTTGGTTTCCCAGTGCATATAAAAGTTATGTTTACAATATACTGTGGTCTAGTTAAGTGTGCAATAGCATATGTATTAAAAAACCCAATGTATATATCATAATTAGAAAATACTTTATTGCTAAAAAATGCTAACCATCATCTAAGCCTTCAGTAAGTTGTAATCTTTTTGCTGGTGGAAGGTCTTGTAAAAAATGCTATGTCTGGAGTGATGACAGCATCGTGGCAGAGTGAGCTCTCCCCTTAGACTCTCCCACCTAAGATACAATGAAAAGGACATTCATATACCATCAGAGGACATTCACACAACACAAAAAACGTCTGAGAGACCCACGCAGCCATATGTCTGAAGGTGGAGGTACTGGACCCACTGGAGGAAGTAGAAGGAGGTAAGGGAAGCAAGGGGATCTCCCCTCCCTCCCCCAAAGGCAGGGGCCCTGGGCTCCAGACTGCACAAGCCTCTGACAGGAAACGGGGGAAGGATGGCCCTCCATGGGAACACCTTTGCTCTCCAAGTTCCCTCACAGCCTGTAGGAAAACCCCACACAGAGGTGACTAAGCTATTGTGGGGGTGCCTTCATCAAGCTAGCACCCCAGGAGAGCAGATAGTGAGGGCAGAGTGAGAATGTCCCTGGGATTGCACAGGTGAAAGAAAGCACCCCTCCCCCCACCCAGCACTCCAGCTCTGCTGGTTGGCCAGAGGGCCTGAACAGATAGGAAAGCAGCAGCTGTGAGCCATTGAGCCATGGATCACAGCAGGCTCAGAATACAAAGCTCTTGACCCCCACCCATGGTGGCAGGCGGAAGCTGCAACCAGATGCTATCTCTGTGGAGGCACAAATCCACACCATCAAACAGTATGAAAAAAAAAATATTAAACCTCCAGACCAGAAGGAAACTGACAAGCAGCCAGAAATCAATCCTGAAGGCAAAGAGAGTTATAATCTAAATGACAGCGAATTCAAAATAGCTATCAGAAAAAAATCAATAAAAGAAAATCCAGATAGATAGTTTGATGAAATCAGGAACTTCTTCACAAAAGAGATGGAAACTAGAAAGAAGAAGCAATCAGAAATGTTGGAGTTGAAAAACACAATAGATGAGATAAAGAAAAATCTGGACTCCCTGGATAACAGAGCTGATATTGTGAAGGAATGAATCAGCAGTGTGGAGGACAGAAATACAGAAATGATTCAGGTGGAGGAGGAGAGAGAACTAAGACTAAAAAGAAATGAAGAAATTCTCCAAGAAATACCTCACTCTATTAGGCCATGCAAAATAAAGATTATAGGTATTCCAGAGGGAGAAGAGAAGGAGAATGGAGCAGAAAGCTTCTTCAAAGAAATAATAGCTGAGAATTTCCCAAACCTGGGGAAGGAGCTGGAAATCCAAGTGAAAGAAGCCAATAGATCTCCTACCAATATCAATGTAAAAAGGCCTTCTCCAAGACATATAGTAGTAAAGCTGGCAAAGTCAATGAGAAAGAAACAAGAGAAGTAAGGCAGAAGAAAATAACTTAAAAAGGAATCCCTGTCAGGCTTTCAGTGGATTTCTCAGCAGAAACCTCAAAGGCTAGGAGAGAGTGGAAGGATATATTCAAAATTCTGAAAGACAAAAACTTTCAGCCAAGAATATTCTATCCAGTGAAAGTATCCTTCAGATGTGATGGAGAAATAAAAACTTTACCAGATAAACAAAAGCTAAGGAAGTTCATCATCACAAGAACTCCCCTATGAGAAATGCACAAGAAGGCCCTCATACCAGAAAAAAAGAAAGAAAGAAAGAAAGAAAGAAAGGGGCTACACAAGCCCTAAGCAAGGAGATAAATAGGCAGACAAAATCAGAAAATTGCAGTTCTCTCTCAGAACAGGTTAGCAAAAACTTAATTATAATATTGAAGATAAAGGGAAAGAAAACACCAAAATAAATCTCATCATTCTAACTACAAACTCACAACACAAGATGGAATAAGTTGTGACAATAATAACTTAGAAGAAGAGGAAAGAGATGAAACTGGCTTAGTCTAAGGAAATAAGAGGCTATCAGAAAATGGTCTATCTCATCTACAAGTTTTTTATACAAACCTCACGGTAATCACTAAATAAACAATCAGAACAGAGACACAAATGATAAAGAGAAAACTAAGAAAACTATCATAAAAAACTACCTAACTGAACTTGTAGTCTGAAATACATGGGACAAGAAACAAAGGAAATGCAGAAGAACTGGAAAACAAGCAATAAAATGG